GCAAACAAGATTCAGAGAGGCTGGGTGACTTGTCAAGAGATGTACAGCCAGACTGGAACAAAATCCAGGCTGGAACATGGGTCTCCTGATTCCTCATTCCCTTTTGGAAATCTAATATTCCAAATTAAAAAACAAAAACAACGGTCCCCCCAAATTACTTAACCAGCATTTACTCTGAACCAGATATTATTCTGTACACGATCCTCACAATATCCATTTGTTCATTCAGCAAACATTTGCCATACATCAATGTGCCAGGCATATTTGACAAGGAATACTGTATAGTTAAGAACAAAAGAAATTGAGTTCCTGTTTCCACAGAGCTTACATTCTAGTGCGAACACTTGATCACAGAGCTCTGTCATAGCAGAGCTTTGCGCTGGGGGAGAAAATCGCTTTGAGAATGTTTAGCAGCGTTTAATTCCACTTCGTGGAACGTTTAGTGTTGAGATAGATATTTCATTCTAGGGATGTAGATGCCTCTAAATGCATAATACTGAAGACAGTCTAGACTTGATAGTAACTTATTTTATTTATCTCTTGTCCAGCAATTTGAGAGAGACCTCCGGCGCTATGCCACACACGAGCGGAAGATGATGCTGGATAACCATGCTCTGTACGACAAGACCAAGGTAGAGCTGATTCCCTGAGATGGGCAACTTTGACCCTCCTCCCAAAGGCTGGCTCCCTGAGCACTTTTCCTGAACTGATTTGAGTGTCCAGTTTCCGTTTCCTTCGCCCAGAGTGTCCTGCTCCCACAGACCATAGCTGAGGGCAGCTGGGAAGATCCTAACGGGAGCACAGCCTCCCACCTGGCCCAGAATGCACCTCAGGGGCACTGGGCTCAAAGATGATGAGCTCATGGGGTCCCCAGAACCAGTCCAGCAGTGACTATTCATTGAGTTTAGTATATCCTTGGTGTTTGTGATGAGTAACTCCAGAGAAAACCAAAGATCACAAATACCACCCAAGCACTCCTCAAATGCAGTAGGCAGTAGCATTGTGAGTGACCCCTTAGGTCATTAATGAGAGTCGACTGCAAGAAGGGAAGCGTCAAAGCTGCCCTGAGTGGTTGCCGAGTGGTCAGTTAGGCTCACTCAGCAGCCATGTTACTCATTTGGAATGCTAGCCTGGCAATGTCACAATTCAAACTCACGCAGCAGCAAAATGATAAATTACTATATCAGTTATAAAGAGTTAAAAAAATGTTCAACTGTTAGTCCACAAGTGCTGAGGTCTACTGTTCGTACAGTGGTCAAGGACACTAAACTAAGCTCTGAGAGGAAAGGAGACATAAAATAACTGAAAGTAATCGTGTTTGCCCTCTAGTTTATAGTCTAAATAAGGTGTGTTTCATTAGAGCTTTCTTCGTTACAAGTGTCAGGAACCCAACCTAAAACCGCATGGGCACAGAAGAGGAATTTGGCTTAAATACTGCAGCATCCGGGTAATACTGACTTCAGGTGTGGCGGCATCCAGGCGCTCACACAGGTTTCCCTCAGTGCTGGTTTCGTTCTTAGGCAGGGTTTTCCCATGAGTCCCATCCTTCCAGCTTAGCCACCCCAACAGAGAAGAGCCTCTTACCTAGTAGTTCCAGCAAGAGCCTGAGCTGATGCTCATCGGCCAGGCCTGGGCCCCGTGCCCATCCTGAATCCGTTACGGTGGCTCTGATTGGCCAGACTTGGATTGTGTGTCCCTTTTTGGAGGTGAGATCAGCCCCACCCGATCCTCATGGACTGAGAGTGGGGGGTGGGGCGTTCCCAAAGAAAAATCAAGGTGCTCTTGTCAGAAGAGAGGGCCATGGATGCTGGCAGGATGTTGAGCGTGTGCGTGGAGGCAGATTCACGTAACCCTATTTAGGAACACTTGCAAATTGACATATAATAAATAGTTCAACATAATCGAGTGTCTCCTATGTATCCAACACTATGGGATGGAAGAGAAGTGGTGTTTGGTTTTAAAGAGGACAAGAGTGGAAGCCTGGTGGGGTAAGGGCAGGTGTGGAGAGCCAGGAGGAGAACACAACACATAGGAGTACCCAATTCTTGTCACTCCTCGTTACCTATAGCAACAGTACTGAGTTCCAGCTGCACATTAGAATTATCCAGAGGTTTTAAATAGATTGATTGCAAGAACTCTTCTGACATTCTGATTTCATTAGACTGAGTTCAAGTTTCAATATATTTTTTAAAAACTTCTTCAGGTGGTTTTAATGAACAACTGTGGTTAAGAACCACAGGAAAAATACCAAGTGCCTTTAACTGAATATATGAGGCTGTCATAATTTTACCTTAATTTGTTAAGTGCCATGTTTTGTCCTGGGAAAATATAAAAATTATAGAATTCAGTTAAGACGACTTTTAATGCTCAGAAGCAGGGAATTCTGTTTTTTGGCAATAATTCATTTTGTCAAGATAGTTTTACGAGTAACACTTGCTTTGTGTTAGCACTGTGATGCTGAACAAAAATATCTGAATGCCCGTATTTCTTGTTATGCTTTCAGAGGATAGTTCTCGAAGCAGAAAGTGAAGAAGACATTTTTGCACACCTGGGACTGGATTACATTGATCCATGGGAAAGAAATGCCTAGAAAATTTTGTTGACATTTGAAAAAAAGTTTCAGCTTAAATAAATATGCTTCATATTATAGTTAACGATGCCTTAGGAAAGTTGGGGGTTTTTAAGTCTCACTGAAATGCAGATTGTTTCCAGCAGCAAATAGTTTTGGAAACATGATAAGGCATCACCTGGTAATGGGTTATGCTCTAACAGGCCATTTGTACGACCGTTGCTTAGAATTCACAATGCATTTTGCCATAGAAACAGTGTTGTAGTTGGTGGCTCCTTTCCAGGTTCCTCATCAAAGCCCACTTCCCCACAGTGTAGCTGAAATACTGTCTATTTCCAATAAAAATAGGAGGACACAAGATGATTGAATCTTCTTCCTTTTTTTCACTCAACTATTAGAAAATACTGTAAAACAAAAATACAAAATGAAAGAATAAAGAGTTTAAGGCTTATCGCAAGGGGAGAAACAGGTTTCATTCGGCCAGACATTCCGAGGCCGGAATCATGGAGCAAGGAGGTCTGGAAGGGCAATGTCAGAGAGAATGGCTGATCAGCACAACAGTAAGTGGGCTGCCACCCGGTGGGGAAGATGGACATCACAGACTGGGGGCCGGGAGGCCAGGAAGCCTTCACAGAGGAGGAGGGATCCTAGTAGGCTTGCAGTAATGGGAGGATTTGGATCCACACCGGTTTTTGCTCTATAACGAATTTCATCAATTAGGGTGGTGACTAGTTTGTGGAATTCAGACGTCCTCAGTGCCTTTGGCTTTGGGGGCAGCGCGCCCTCTGGTGGTGAACTGAAGAACCTTTGAAGGCAAGCACAACATGATCATGGGCTGCACCCTGTGGAGGACTGAACATCTCCATCACCAGCCAGCAGAGAGAGTGCCAGCACCAGGAGTACCCCTGGGATAGCCTTAATTCCAACCCCAGGGCCAATGTCATACTTTAATATAGGTGGAGAAAAACCGCAGATGTGTCATAGGTCCATAAGAAGGACTGTTTCACTTTTCACTTTATTCCACAACTAGAGGCCCGGTGAACGAATTCGTGCATGGGTGGGGTCCAGCTGGACTGCCCTGATCAGGGCCAATCAGGCTGGGCCGGCCAACGGGAGGGACGCCCCCCCCAATTGGGGCGATCGGGGGCAGGGCTGGCCAAGGGGAGGGGCCGCGGGTGGTTGGCCAGCTGGCCCCACCCCCAGGTTGAACTCCCAGTCGGTCCAACTCCCGCCCGAGGGGACAATTTTCATATTAGCCTTTTATTATACAGGATAACTTTTTGTGTATTGTAGCAGAAAAAAAATGATAGAAACATCAAACCTTGCTAGTTTAGTAGAAACAACTTGGACGAAAGATTCTAAGCAATGGATTGTAAGTGGAATTAAAGTAAATGGTCCAAAATATGTCAGACCTCATATTATAGACAAAATGGCCAAAGTGACTGCACCCGGGGGATATAGAGTACAACTGAATTTCACAAGGGGCCTTGCAAAGCACAGTTGGCAGGTGGCAGTGACTGAGTTTGTAGAATCCGTCCTTTGTTATTTGAAGAAGAGGGGAGACAGGATTCCTGGAAGTCTCCTCACAAAAGTGATGGCGAAGGCCTCGCCCGAGCCAGCTGACACTGCACAGCCTTCCCTCACATGGTAGCCACATTGCTACTCAGCCCACCCCTTCGGCCCAGTGCTCATGTACTGGATCCTCTGGATCTCTCTTCTTGACCATGAGCTTTTCCCCATGATAGTCCAAGGACTTGGGCTTTTCTCTCTACTCCCACAAAATGGATATAGCCTCATTTCTAATAATCATTTAAAACACTATTTACCGTACACACACACATGCGCACACAGCCCATTGCAATTTGTCTTCCTTAAATATATCTGATCACAGACACAGTGGGAGTAATGAATGGTCCAACCATGAGCTGCCTCTGTAGTCAAGGCATGTGTGGCTCCATCTGATTTCTACCCTGAGATATTCAGAAATAGGATCTGCTTTCCTTCATTACCCCCTCTGAGCTTCATTTTTATATCATACTGACCTTGACGAACCCTCCCATAGAAGCCAGATATAATGACTTTTTGAGAAATGGGATGTAAAAAAAGGTGAGGAGGAAGACACTCAGAAATCAAGCCCCTTTTCTAAAATCACACACACACACACACAATTCCCACTGGGGTCAGGAACAGGACCCAAGGGCTCCTTCTGGATGCACAGTGATCTCACTTGGTGGTTCGCTGCTTCTTAAACCACAAGATCTGAGAGCTGGAATGAACCTTGTCAGATCTGTCCTCAAAGAAACAAACCAATCCAAAAGTTTTCCAGATCTGTCAATGAAATTTGGATTGGTTATGAAGCAGCTTAGCATCTCTCCTCACGCCACGCTCAGATCCCCGGGTTTCCAGCTCCAGTTCTGCTCTTTGAGCTACATCATTCCAGGCTCAGTCTGGGCACAAGCCACCACAATCCCCTCCTTCTCTCCACCTCCACAGTAGGACGATAAGTGTCAGGCATGATCTCCTCACTTCCTGATACAGTCTTCACATATATGTGAGCTTCTTCTGCTCCCATCATATTCTTCTCACGTGTGGGTGGTCTCCTAGGATTCTTGAGAAAACAAACAGGTTTTTAAAAATACAGCAGAGACTTCTGCTACTGGCCAAGTTGGAGTAACAACAACCAGACTTACCCTCCCACCTACAAGAACCAAAGTTCAGACAAATCATCTAAAACAATAGTTTTCAAGACACTGGACATCAGCAAGGATGGACAGTGATCCTTAAAAGACAGAAAACAAATAATTGTCTGAACTTGCTGCCTTGGGAGGGTTTTTGGGCCATTCAGCATTCTCTTGCTTAATGTTAGCATAGTGTCTGTTGTTCTATTCTTTACTTTTAATCTATTAGTGTCTTTATATTTAAAGTGAGTTTTAGTAGGCAATATATAGTTGTATCTTGCTTTTATATCCAATCTTAATATCTCTGCCTTTTAATTGAGATATTTATACCAATTATATTTAATGGGATATTGACACAGTTGGGTTTAAATCTACATTTTTGCTATTTGTTTTCTATTTCATGTGTCCATTGTTACTTTTTAAACCTTTTCTCTGCCTTCTCCCATTTAGATTTTAGAAGTGCCTTATTAAGTTCCATGAAAAAAAATCTGTTGGGATTTACATTGGAGTTACATTTATTATGTAGACCAATTTTAGGTTGTTTGACATCTTTATGCTGTTAAGCTTCCCTATCCATGAGCATGGTATATAATTCCCATTATTTAGGTCTTATATAATATCTTTTACTAAAGCTTTCTATTTCTCCTTAAAGGGGTTATATTCCTCAGCATTCTATGTATATTTTATTGCCACTACAAAATGGTATTTAAAATTTTTTTATTTTTTATATTGTTATTGATTTTTAGAAATGCAAATTACTTTTGTATACTGATTTTGTATCCAGTAAACTTGTTAGAATTGCTTGATAATTCTAACAATTTATCTGTAGGTAATCATATCATCTGAAAATAATGTAAGTTTTGTTTCTTCTCTTTGAGTCTTATATGTCCTACTTCCTTTTCATATTCTACTGCATTGGCTAGGGCCATACAATATTGAATAGAAGTGAAAAAAATGAGCATCCTTGGCTTGTTTCTGACCTTGAAAAGAAAGAATTCATGAAACAATATTCCCTTAGGTAAAACATTTTAATGTGATTATATTAAGAAGATATTCTCACATTCCATTTAAAAACATACTATATCCTATTTCTAAAAAGGCTAGAATATTAACCAACTAAAATGGCTGTTAAATTTTGAAATTTTCAAATCCTACTTTAATAGGGCTATTCATTTACCTATCTTGCCTCAGCCCAAAAAACCCCACAGAAAAGTAAAAAGCTGAAACTAGTTCAATCATGCAGTCTATGTCAGCAAAGAAGGTGTGTAGCCACTCTCGAGCTTGACCTCGTCATGTTAGAT